TTTTTTTTTTTTTTTTTTTTTTTTAGAGACAGTCTCAAGCTATCGCCGTTGGTAGAGTGATATGGCATCCCAGCTCACAGAAACCTCTAGCTCTTGGGCTTAGGCAATTCTCTTGCCGCAGCCTCCTGAATAGCTAGGACTACAGGTGCCCACCACAACGCTGGGCTATTTTTTTGTTGCAGTTTGGCTGGGGCTGGGTTCGAACCTACCACCCTCGGTATATGGGGTCGGTGCCTTACTCACTGAGCACAGGCACTGCCCCAGATTTTCTTTTTTTTGTAGAGATAGGGTCTTGCTCTTTCTCAAGAGTTGATGATTTTTAAGAAGATGCTTTTTATATTTAATTCAGCCATTTTAGTTGTTTTCAAAGGCACAGCATGTCTTGGTAACTAATTCCCCATTGTTACTTGAAACTAGTCTCTAAAACAGGCCTCCTCAAACTACGGCCCATGGGCCACATGCCGCCCACCTAGGACATTAATCCTGCCCGCCGGGTGTTTTTGCCCCTGCTGCCTGTCCTGCTTAGCAGCTGACTCATCCCGGGGCCCGCAGTCTGGCCCTCCAACGGTCTGAGGGACAGTGAATTGGCCCCCTGCTCTAAAACATCATCTTTCTACTTACTAGACGTGTGCTTTCCTGCTTACCTGTGTTCCCTATCCCTCTCTTTTTCACAGGTAAGCGATTTGTGCATACTTGTGTTTCCCAAAGCCTCACCCAGCTCAGTTTTGTCATGGTTGTCTCTAGCTGAATATGGCTAAAGAAAAAACACGTTGAGTAAGAGGCTTTTGTCTAAAAAGAAGTCGTCTTTGGATTAGTAAACAGCGCAGCCTCCTGTCTTCTTCGTGTATTTATATTCTTACAGGAACTGATAAATGGAATGAGAAACCTGCATTTACTCCCCTCATTAGGTCAAGAAAGCGACTTCTCTTTTGGAAGGATGGTCAGCAGTGGTCATTGGCAAAGATGTTGCTTTCTCGTTGGGTTCCTGATGGATGGGCAATTTAAATTCCCTGTGGTCTAGAAACGAATTTAAAAAAGGGGCCCCCAGTTACTATTGCCAAGAAGAGGTACTTTGGACCAGATGGGCAAGACTCTCATTCTATTCCTTAAATTATAGATCCCGTTGTGGATGTTATAGATCCTGTTGTGGAGGAGCTCTGAGTGTGAGGATTTGGTGATTCTTACCTTGCTGTAGCCAGTCTTGCCAAAGTTTGTGTTATTTGAAGATGTGTTTTGCTTCCTGACAAGGTATCAAGCAACTAAACTCAACTTCATTGCCATTTTCCTGTGCTCCAGTTGCAAGCAGAGGCACCAAGGCTGGCAGAATATCAAGCATATATTGATTTTGAGATGAAAATTGGTGATCCTGCTCGCATTCAGCTGATCTTTGAGCGTGCCCTGGTTGAGAACTGCCTTGTCCCAGACTTATGGATCCGTTACAGTCAGTACCTAGTAAGATAACGGTTCTGATTTCATTTTGTTTTTACCAGTGTATAATCTATTTGAAGAAGACCAGGTGCCAGGAGTGAGTTGCATGCTGCCCTACTCTTTCTCACAGTTTCTTCATCTTCCTTTCTTCTTTCCCAGCTTGTTTAGGAAGTTCTCCTGGTGTTTGAAAGTATTTTACAATATTTACTAACTGCAAAAACAAATTTCTTTTTATTGTCTTAACTATATTGTGGGCTTTATAACAGATTGATTTTGTCTTTTAATTTTTATGATGGAATACTTAAAAATGTAAAAGACAGATTGGTGCAATGAAACCTCCCGCACCCATCACCCATCTTCAACAATTACTAACAATATGGCTCTAGTCTGCTTTTATCTTTATTCTTACCTATTTGCCCTTTCTATCGTATTTTGAAGCAAATCCAGAAAGCACATAATATTGGTAAACATTTTGGTGTATATTATATAGAATATTTCAGTACATATGTATGTATAAAAGGATCCAAACAAGGTCTTTCTGTTAGGCTTGGCTGATGTGTCTTCGGGCTGTTTTAATCTGTAAGTTCCCCCTTCATCTCTTTCTCTTCCCCTATCCCTGGACATTGCGTTGTTGAAGAAACCATGTCATGAGGAATTTTTAAGGAAATTTCTTTTGTTGGAGTGTCTGTTGATGGTCAAGTGTTAATATCTCCTAACTCTGAAATTCTTTATCATAGGATCGACAACTGAAAGTAAAGGATTTGGTCTTATCTGTTCATAACCGTGCTGTTAGAAACTGCCCCTGGACAGTTGCCCTGTGGAGTCGGTACCTCTTGGCTCTGGAGAGACATGGAGTTGATCATCCAGTGATTTCTGGTGCGGATATTTTCGTGGGAAGACTAATTCTAAGCTTTTTGTCCCATGTGAGGAACATAGAGCTATGGTGAAGCTGTTAAACCAGGATTCTCCAGGGTTTTCTTTGGGATATTGAGTATTAGTAACAAAAAGGGCCCTAACTGGGAGGTGAACTGGTTATACTTTTTGCTTTTTAGAGCTCTTTAGCCTATTAATATTCATTGTGATTTTTCTAAGAAGCTGTGGTCTTTTCTCCAAACTTACCTGACTTGGAACTCTGATTGCAGGGTGTCTTGTGGAGTAAGCCCTTTCTAAAACATAGTCTTGACAGTGCTTCTCTTTCGAACACTCCTCTAGTTTTTTTTACTTCATTGTATCCTTTTATTATTTTTAAAATCATTTAGTGTTTTATAATCAGCAGAGTTTGATAACTTCATAATTAGCTTATTTTTGAATCATCAATAAATTCTGACTTTTTCTCCCAACTCCAGTAACCTTTGAGAAAGCTTTGAATGCTGGCTTCATCCAGGCCACTGATTATGTGGAGATTTGGCAAGCATACCTTGATTACCTGAGGAGAAGGGTGGATTTCAAACAAGGTATTTAAGTTCACATGTTCACCTTGGAACTGAACTTTTTCTTAACACATCTTTTTGTGAGATGTCCCAGTTTCTCACGTATATTTATGATTGGACAGATGTTACAGACCAGCCACTGGTGACTTTCCCCCTGGAAATTTTAGCAGGTCCTGCTATGGGTTGTAGGACAAGAGTAATGGTCCATATGGCTTTCATACTGGCTCCTGCCAGCCTTTTATTTTTTCTCATTTCTCCCTTCTGGCCTTTTTATATATCCAAAATAGTTCTTGAAATAAGACCTCTGTGTTATTTTAAATCTTTGAACTCTGTGGGATCCTCTGGCCTTCCCCACAAGGCAGCCAGAAAACTCCTAGCTTGTACTTGGACACTCATGTCAGCTATTAACCTCATGCAGATAGTTTGCAGCTGTTCCTCCTTACTGTTTGCCCATGTTATCCTGGCTTGGGAGGACCTCCCCCCCGGCCCCCCACTGTGGTCCCACCCACTGAACTCTGTGTTCACCTTTGTCGTTGTGCTTTCCATACTGTCCCTGTTCCAGTTTCTTTCTCCCCCACTGTGTGATGAGAGCAGGAACTGGCAGTGTTATATCTGTCTCCTGCACGATGCCAGGTACATAATGGGTTTCCTGACAATTTCAGTGTAGGATTAAAAATAAAGACAGTTGCTGTAGTTTCATAAAGTTTTTTTTTTTTTTTCCAATTTCCAACAGATTCTAGTAAAGAGCTGGAAGAGTTGAGGGCCACATTCACTCGTGCTTTGGAGTATCTGAAGCAGGAGGTAGAAGAGCGTAAGTTTGCTGGAACCTCGTAACTTGCTGTTTCGCCCACTTGTATTTCCTGTGCCTTTTCAAAGGCTATTTGTCTCTTAAGTTGCTTTCTAATTTTGATTAATTACATCCTTGCAGGTTTCAATGAGAGTGGTGATCCAAGCTGCATGATCATGCAGAACTGGGCTAGGATTGAGGTAAAAATCTTTTGAACAAATCTGCCAGTTTCACCTACCTTTGAAAGACTTTTTTTTGTTTAATAGTGACTTATTAAACATTAATTAAAATTGAATCAGTCTTCCAGGTAATGATCTAGACGCTGCAGTGATTCGTGATATTTATCTAGCTGGGTGTGCATTTGTTTATATCTTGGTGAACCTGTTAGCTCCCAGCTTGAAGTTAAGTAGCACGTGTCATTACTTCATTTGTGAGAGTGTAATGAGTGTGTGCTGTTTGCTAGCATTATACTAGTTGGTGGGGGAATAAGGCACAGTCCCTGTGCTAGTAGGGCTTTAATCTAGTGTAGAAGACAAATGAGTTTGACTGATCAGCAGGGACACCAAGGAGAGTAATACATGGAACCTGCCTTGATCAGCTGATGGATAGATAGCATTATAGAATTCTGATCATGTTTTAAAACTCTGAGGACTGAGGTTGAAGAAACTAACATTTGTCAGGTAGTCTCTGTTATGAGATGTTTGTGTTGTAACCATTTTCAAGATGAGGAAACTGAGGCTCAGAGAAATTAAGTAATTTGCCCACGTTTGTAAGTGGCAGAGCAGGCATTTAATACTAGATCAATCCTTTTTGTGTATTGCCTCTCAAATAAACACCTGTAGGTAAGTTGATAAAAAGAAGAAATCAAATAACAACTTGGTAAGAGAGGAAGGGAAAATCCTCCCAAATATCCATCCAGTACTGGAGTGCTATGGGTTCCATGCTCTCTTCTCGAGAGGCACGGGCAGACAGATTGAGGCTTATCCCTGCAAAAAGGTGGCTGGGCTCGTCCTGTTACCTGGAGGAAAGTCTAGGGAATGTCCAGGGATTTGTGTTACACTGATAGTTATGCTGTTTGGAGTATATTTTGTGACAGGTGTTGATGTCATAAAGTTTGGGTCTTTTCTTAATTGAGTCTAACTGCACTTTAGGCTCGACTGTGCAGTAATATGCAGAAAGCTCGGGAACTCTGGGATAGCATTATGACCAAAGGCAACGCCAAGTATGCTAACATGTGGCTTGAGTATTACAACCTGGAAAGGTAATTGACTTGGACTTGGGGTGGGGAGGAGAGATAATGCTTATGGGGTTTGCATCTTCTTCAGTCCTAGCTAACTCCTGCTTCCTTGGGCTTGCTCCTTAGACCAAGGCTGCCTTCCTTCATCTTCTTTCATTCATGGATGTATTTTTATTGAGCAAAACTAGAGAACCAGACATTGTATTTGGTGCCTGGAGCTCTGATAACCATGCAATTCTTTTTGTTTTGTTTGTTTTGATTTTTGGACATGAATGTTTATTTGATTTTTAGGGGTTTTTTTATTATATTTGTTCTTCTAGAAAAGTAGAAAATACTAAAGCAAACAAAAATAAAAACCTCATATTACTTCCAGTCATTGACCCAAACATGTTAGTTAACAGTTTAGGAAATATTCTTCAACATTTTTCTATGCTTAAATTTTTTTTTAAATAAAAATGCAGTTATAGCCTATATGTTAGAAACTTTTGAAATTGTTTGAATTAAATAAAATATTCTCAATATTTATAACATGGGGAAAATACAAAAAACTTAACCAGCTTTTCTATCCAGTATATTAAACATTAGAAATGGAATGTATTTCTACATTGCTTTTTTTCTTTTTTGAATATTTTATTTTCCTTACTAAAAAAAGTTTATTCAAATTTAAATCAAAATACTTAGAAAAATATAATTGGCAGTTTCTTTTAATCTTACACCCAGAGAGGACCACTGTTGGGTTGGTTGAATGTTCAGTAGATCAGCACTTCTCAAATTTTTTGGTCTGAGGACCCCTTTGTGCTCTTAAAATTTAAGGACCCCAAAGAGCTTTTGTTCATATAAGTTATATCTATTGATATTTACCATATTAGAAAATAAAACTAAGAAAAGTATTTTTAAGTTAGTTAAACGTAATCTGTTACATTTAACATAAACAACTTTTTTTTTTTGAGAAATAATTGTATTTTTTCAAACCCCAAATAATTTAGAAAAGGGGGATGATTATATATTTTTGCAAATATCTTTAGTCTGGCTTAGTAGAAGATGGCTGAATTCTCATGTCTGTTTCTACATTTAGCCTGTTACAATATGTTGTTTTCATTGAAAAGTATAAAGATTGTAAGGGTGTACATAGGAGGTTAGAGAAGAAAGTTGTTTTTTATTAGCCCTTTTCAATTAGTTGTGTATATCCTTTCACACTGTAGCAGAACTTCACAAGTGATAGTTTCTTAAACATTAGTAACAGTGTGGAATCTGCAACCATATTGACAAGTTTCTCCAATTCTGTTACATTAACATCCATTTATCTAGTTTGTACTTTGAATGGACCTTTTATCTTTTACATGATGCCCTAATTCTGTGGCATCATGAGTTATTCATTTGGAAAATCTTGATCTCTAAATCATGTAGCTAGTCCAAATGTTGACATATCTTATTCTACAGTATAAAAAAACTTATTTGTTTGTATTCACACTTAGCATTAGTAGAAAAGTCTGTTATGCGGAAGCTGTCAAACTGATAGTGGCAGACCCAAGTTTTACAAAATTCTCATTTTCACTTGAAAGCTTAAATTTTATCACTTGCAACGAATGATGTTAGTGGTTTTCCTTGAAGTGACAGACTCGCTTGTTTAATTTTTGAAAATGTCTGCCAGATACCCACAGTTTGTCACTCAATTGTTCTTCTAAGTAAAAATGGTGTCCATGAGAAAAGTGAGTAGGTTAGCCTGCACCTTAAAAAATAACATGTGCTTTTCTTTGCTGAAACTTCATTTTGCTGAACTGCTTTATGTGTATTTTCCACTTCCTCACACAGAATATTAAAAAGATGTGTACTGCCTTGATTTGTACTAAGGACCAGCACTGCTTTTGCACCATTGTGCAAATGTCAACACAGTGAACAAGTCCAATAATAATTTTGGTATTATTATAAAAGGAGTTTTGACCTTGCAGAACCCTGGAGAGGGTATTAGAGCCCCTCAGGGGTATGTGGATCATACTTTGAGAACTGCTGCTCTGAAGTTTTTGATTATCCTAATATTTATAATAGTTATGTATATTTACAATGTTTTAAAAATAGAAATGAGAATATACTGTCTCATAACTGTTATGACTTAACAGAATTGCTTAATTTCTGTTGTGATTAGCAGTATATCTTCCCGTGTGGATACATAAAGATTTAACTCTAGGCATGAATTTGGACAGTCCTTTGGATTAGTGCTTCTCCGTCAGGTGGGACTGTATAGTAGAATTTCTCTAGGGACTTTCTCAAGTTACACAGAATTGTTGGACACCCCACTTCCATGGTGCTGCATTTGTGAAAGCTATGATGGCAGAGTACCTGGTTCCATAGGATGGTTTCAGGTGCATTTTCCAGAAGCACCTACCTGGATGAAGGAAGGGGAAAGCCTTCCTTTGTTGTGACTGTAGAGACTCCACTGGAAGCAGGAGAAAACCCTGTGGGCAGTTGTGAACGCGAGGGTCTCCTCAGAGAGCGAGCTTCTACCTGTGAGAAGACAGCCTCTCCCTTCATCTGCTTTCCACTTTGTGTCCCGGTGGCAGCAATTGTTTGTTTTCTGCCTTAGGGCACATGGTGATACCCAGCACTGCAGGAAGGCCCTGCACCGGGCTGTACAGTGCACCAGTGACTACCCAGAGCATGTCTGCGAAGTGTTGCTCACCATGGAGAGGACAGAAGGTGGGATCCTCAGCTCTCTTCTGGCTTGGAGTCTGGCCCATTTGCTGTTAGGTCTCAAGTAGGAGCTCCTGGTTATATAGTCTGTGAGGACAGACTGTGTTTGCGGCTACCGCCCCTTGAGTGGTACTCTGTGACTAGACTGTAGGTGTGCTCACGAGTGAGAGTGAGTCTTTCTGCAGCTCTTGTCAGATTTTTCTGACCGGTGGAGGACTCTGATGTAGCTCTTGCATGGAGTGTTTATAATTCTTGGTGGTGAGGGCGGTGCTCTATGTGACATTTAGTGGCACCCCTGGCCTCTAACCCACTAAATGCCAGTAGTAGCCCTCCCTGCCCCAGCTAAACATGAAAACCAAAAATGTTGTCAGACATTACCCAAGGTCCCTTAGTGGGCAAGATCTCCCAGTCAAAAATCACTGCTCTAGTGCAGTGTCTACGCAGCAAAGGAGCTCAGACAAGCAGATGTCTCAGTGTGTTCTTTGGTCACACGTATCTCCCATATATAGATCTCAGAACATTTTCAGTGTTAAGTTGTAGAACTAGAACCAGCAGGAAAACAGGGTGAATTTATCCATGGACATTGGTCTGGATTTTGACTTTGAACCCCTCAAAACTGGGAATCAAAGACTCAACAGCAATAACAACAACAACAAAAATACCTCAATATTTGTATTAGCTCTTAAAAGTCTTCAGTTTTAATATAAATGTCTTATACCTTTTACAGTAGAGTATTTTCATAATTTTTGCCATTTAGAACCCTTAATAGAACATACTGGTTTTCAAGTGTCTTTTTTGAAAGAGAAGGTCCCCCTGGGTAGAGTGCTGTGGCATCACAGCTTACAGCAACCTCTAACTCCTGGGCTCAAGTGAGTCTCCTGCCTCAGCCTCCCAAGTAGCTGGGACCACAGGCACCCTCCACAATGCCTGGC